TGGCCACCTGTTGGTAGCCATATGAACTGCAGTGAGATGGCAGCCTTACATTTCTATGTATATAGGAAGATTATACACACACACACATTTTTTTTAGTGTAGTAAGAGGAAATTCTAATAAAGTACTAATTAGCCTTGGTGGGCCTACTGCTTTGCTGTGGTCTCCCTCCTGCCTTGATCAGCCCCTGGGTGGGACTAAGGACTGGTTACCTGCAGTGGGATCAGGTGGTAGAATGGGCAAGAACCACTGCAAATAGCAGGTGAGTCAGCATTCAAAAACGGTCCCTTTCTGCAAGAAGAGAATTAGCTCAGCAAGGAGGGAAGTAGTGGACTTCAATTCCTGATGAGCTAGCTTTCTACTTATGTCGGGTGTGTTGGGAAGGGGGACAACTTATTTTCAAAGGAACATTCTGTCATGGCAGGTCCTTCCAGGCCCCCGAGGTGGTGCAGTGAACCCTCCTACCTCAGGAGTCTACTGCATCAATTTCGCTACGTGAGTAGATAGCCCCAGCACAATCTTCTGTCATTTCAGCCGCAAACTTCCTTTATGTCTGCGGAGATGAACCACTGGCAAGATAAACGAAGCAAAGGCTTGCAAGGACACAGGAAGGCATCTTTTTATAGCCTTCCACCTTCTCCATTTTCCATTGTGTGTGACACCCTCCCCATCTGATTGTCTCTTTTCTTGTTTGCCAGCCATTGATTTCTTTCTGGGCTGCTTCTAATGGTGCTTGAAATCAACATGACTTTCTAGCCGGCGTGGTGACGGCGGCTGTTCTTTACGTCTTTGTGCCTCACTATCATTGCCCAAGTTGCTACAGATCGGAGAGTGAGGCTTTGTTGGCCAAGAATAAATAACACACACCTCTTTTTTTTGCATTCGCAAAAAATAAAAGCCCACTAACAACTCAAGAACGAATGTGGGTATGCTACTTCTCCTAACTGGGAAACTTTTCACAAAAGGGGAACCAGATATTTTTGGATTCCAGCTCCCATCAGCCCCAGACAGCATGACACAATGGATGATGAGAGTTGGAGTCTGCAATGCATTCTGTGTGGGGCTTTCCTTGCACTTGACCCACAAACTGCAGTTACTGCAGAACGATGCAGCTTAGTTGCTGACAGGAGTGAGACCCTGTAAGCATATGGTATACAGTGGTACCTCTGGTTAAGAACTTAATTCGTTCTGGAGATCCGTTCTTAACCTGAAGCTGTTCTTAACCTGAAGCACCACTTTAGCTAATGGGGCCTCCTGCTGCTGCTGCGCCGCCGGAGCACGATTTCTGTTCTCATCCTGAAGCAAAGTGCTTAATATGAAGCACGATTTCTGGGTTAGAGGAGTCTGTAACCCGAAGCGTTTGTAACCTGAAGCATATGTAACTCAAGGTGCCACTGTATCTGCTTGGAAAATTGCACAGCTTGCTAATTTGTTACCAGTTGTTACTATTGGTATACAAAGTTCTTAGCGGCTTGGAACCAGTCTGCCTGCAGTACCCTCTTACCCTATATGTGCCCACCCCACCACTTCAGTCAGCACAATAGGCAGTTACAGGTGCTGCATAATGCTCATTCTACACTTGTAAGAAATTGGTCTTTTAGTGTAATGGCCCCCAAACTTTGGAACTCCCTGCCTATTGACACCAGGCAATCTCCTTTGCTGCACTCTTTTTTGGTCCCTGCTTAACACATTTCTGTTTGTGCAAGCCTATCCAGCCACGTAGGTGTCAACGTGTTTTAATTGTTCTTAAGTGTTTTGTTTGATAACCTCAATTATTTCTTGCAAACTGCCTGGTAGTTTTTGCTACAATCAAATGTTATATACACTTTGTTAAATACATAAGAATAGATTTAGCATCCAATAACACCTGGAGTGCCACAGTTTCCCTATTCCTGCATTGTAAGGTGATACAATGTGGGGATGGGGAAAAGGGGCTCTCAGGTGCTAGAGGTGCAATAAAGGCTTCCTTGAGTACCCGGTATATGATGGGAACCAATGAGGGGAAATGAAGTTCCACTGAAACCTTATTGAGCTGTGAAGGCAGGTGACACCAGACAGCCAATGCAGTGCCACAATCCTTGGCCAGCTGTCTTCCCCTAATATTGGGAGACTGACAGCCATTAACAGCTATCAGAGGGGAGTCGAGAGCTGAGCCACGCTCCAAAATACATCCAGATCCCAAAACATCAATGGATATCCTGGGTGTGGACAGTCCAGAACCCGAGAAAACTTCACTGCCCAGTAAGAGGCTCCAAACTGGAATTCCATGGGGCACCACATGGGGCAGCTACACACAAACTCATGGTTCCAGCAGTGCTGCTTGGTCATGACACCTTTGTTTCAGCTTAGAGAACAGGGCTTCTATTACAGCATCCTGTTCTTGCAGTGGCCAACCAAATGCCTGTGGAAAAGCAGCAAACAGGACCTGAGTGCCAGAGCTCTCCCCTCCTGAAGCTTCCAGCAACTGTTATTCAGAAGTGCCACTGCCCCTGACTGCAGAGCATAGCCATTGTGGCTAGTAGCCATCCATAGCCTTCTCCTCCTTGAATTTGCCCTGTCCTATTTTAAAGCCATCCAAGTTGGTGGCACCTACTGCCGCCAGTGGGAGTTCGTTCCCTACTTTAACTATGCTCTATAGCAGAGTTTCCCAAACTTGAGTCTCCAACAATACCCATCATCCCTAAATGCTGGTTCTGCTACTGCTGGAGATCCAAGTTTGGAAAACCCTGGTCTATAGGAAGCGTTTTCTTCCTGAAAGCTGTCCTGAAACTTCCAAAATTCGGCTTCATTGGATGTTCCTGAATTTTGGTGTTACAAGAGATGAGGCAAAACTTTTCCTTATCTACTTTCTCCATGCTATTCATTGTTGTTGTTGTTTAGTCGTGTCCGACTCTTCGTGACCCCATGGACCAGAGCACGGCAGGCACTCCTGTCTTCCACTGCCTCCCGCAGTTTGGTCAAACTCATGCTGGTAGCTTCGAGAACACTAACCATCTCGTCCTCTGTCGTCCCCTTCTCCTTGTGCCTTCCATCTTTCCCAACATCAGGGTCTTTCCCAGTGAGTCTTCTCTTCTCATGAGGTGGCCAAAGTATTGGAGTCTCAGCTTCAGGGCTGATTTCCTTAAGAATGGAGAGGTTTGATCTTCTTGCAGTCCATGGGACTCTCAACGTCACACAACTCTTACTCACCTTTTTCTCTAAACTAGAAAGCCCCCAATGTCTTTCCTCATAGGTGAGCTTCTGCTCTATCTATATCCCCTTGATCGTTTTGGCTGCCCTTTTCTGAACCTTTTGCAACGGTGCCGTTTTTGAGGGGAGGAGACCAGAACTGTACAGTGGTACCTCGGGTTACAGACGCTCCAGGTTACAGACTCCGCTAACCCAGAAATAGTACCTCTGGTTAAGAACTTTGCTTCAGGATGAGAACAGAAATCGTGTGGTGGCAGCGGGAGGCCCCATTAGCTAAAGTGGTACCTCAGGTTAAGAACAGTTTCAGGTTAAGAACGGATCTGCAGAACGAATTAAGTTCTTAACCAGAGGTACCACTGTACACAAATAAGGCTGCACCACAAATTTGTATAATGGCATTATAATGTTGGCAGTTTTATTTTCCATTCCACTGACCATATGAAGCTGTGGTTTAACTCTGTGTCTACTAGCGGAAGCTGTTCAGTTACGGCTCTGCCCCACCTGACCCAGCCTCCACCTGCCTGCCTTCTTTTATCCAGACAGCCCCTGGGTTAGGGCTGCCTCCCAGCTTCATCTTCCTTAAGTCCCATTACTGTCCTGTGGAACTCAGCAGGGAGGAAGAAGATGGGATTAAACTAGAATTAGTTGGCTCTGCTTGCGATTGGCTCTGTCTCAGCCTATGATTAGGCTCCTTGCCTTCCACCCTATCACCACCACTGAGCCCCCTCTTCAGGAAATATCCATTCACACATCCCATCTCTAACAGCAGCCCCTGGAAAGCTCACAATCACAGCAGAGGACCATAGCGAGAGCTTAGAAGTAGAACTGAGAAAGGGGTAATCCTGCAAGGATCACACACAGTTCTCTTCCTCCTTTAAACACACCCATTTGGATCCATTCCTTCCATTTTGAGCCACCGCTGTCCCCACTCCAATGAAAGAGATCCAGGAGGGTCTCAATACAGTACCAGAAGGGCTTCAGTTCAAAGTGTTTCACTATGGCTGGATCAGACCCAGAAGGGCAGGGGAAGAGAGGAAAAGGTCAAGAAATATAGCGGAGAGTGGGGAATGAAAGCAAAGGAAGAAATTGATAAAGGAATAAATAAGAATGGCCGTAGCTCCGTGGTACAGCCCGCGGTCCGCATGCAAAAGGTCCCAAGTTCAATCCCTGGCCTCTCCAGACAGACACGGGTGATGAGCCTTGAGCTGTTGCTGGACTCCAACTCCCATCAGCCCCAGCTATCACTGTCGAGTCTCAGGAGTGATGGGAGTTGTAGTCCTGGAGCGCCACAGCTTCCCCTACTACCCTGTCTCCTGGTGGGAAATGCCGAAGACTGATCTGAAACCCGGGACCACCGCTCGCTGCCAGCCCGTGTCGACAACACTGGGCTAGTACCCATGGACCATGCAGCAGCAGCTCCTGTGCTGCAAGTGGAAAAAGACGGGGGGGAGGACCGCAGGGGCAAGGAGGAAAAGACGAACCGCGTGGGGGGCAGGAGGGGGAGTGGCGGGAAGCGTGCAGCCGCCCCGCCGAGCCTCCCCGACCGCACCAGACGGACGCCGGAGGAACGCGCGGCACTGCGCACGCGCCCCTTTCGCGGAGACTTAACGCCGGCGCCCCGCCTGCTGTTTTGCATGCTGTGACATCACAGCCGCGGGGGGCGGGCCCGGGGATCCAGCGGCGGGGCTCGGGTGGGAGTTGTGTGTGTATGTGAAAGAGCGCGCGCGCGCTCCGTTCCTCTCCCCCTTTCTCCTCGCGCTCTCTCTCCCGCGCGCGCTTGCGGGCGAGGGTGCACGCGCAGGCGCGCCCCCGCCGCGGCTCTCCGACTGGCCACCCTGCTCCAGCTCAGAGCAAGCCGAGGCTGCCCAGAGAAAGGGAGGCGCCTCTCGCCGGTGCTGATGTTGCAGCGAGGAGCCGCTGCTCTCCTCCTCCTCCTCTTCGTCGTCCTTCTCCGCCCTCTTCGCCGCTCCAGCCTCCTCGGAGTGCTCTCGCCAGTCCCAAGCGCGGGGATCCGACGCCGCCGCCTCTCCTCCTCCTCCTTCCCGCCTGCCGTGGGGTTCGCCGAAAGCTGGGATCTGCGAGACATGGAGCTTGTTTGGAGCACTTTGCTCCGCGCCGGGGCCCTCTGATCGCCGTGCGGCGGCAACAGCAGCAGGAGCAACAGCAACGTGCTCGCGGGATCCGACCGCGCTCGCTCTCTTTTTCAGTCCCAGAAAAGCCCCAAAGCCACGGGGGATCCGGCTCGGTGGCTGGCGAGAGAGGAGGGGGGAGGGAAGGAAGGAAGCGAGAGAAAGGAGGGAGAGAAAGCGGAGCAAAGCCGATCCCTGGTCGGAGGCTGTGCCGCCTCGCCGCACGAGGGGTGTCCGGAGCATCGGGAGATGACTTGTCGCCAGGATCCGGTCTAAGCAGCCCAGGAGGAGGCGGTCTTCTCCTTTCTCGCCCTCCGTGCTTCCCTCCTCGTTTTTGTGCCAGCTTTGGCCCCCGATCCCAGAGGAGACGACCGGACTGGGCTGGCCTTGGAGAGCGCAGGGGGCGATTGGCAAGCGGCTGGGTCGCCAAGGACCGCCCCAGGAAAGGAGAGCTTTGAGGGCGCGATCTCGGCAAGCAACTTGGGGGGCGTGTGTGGCTTGATTTCCTCTGGTGGATATTGTACTCCCCCTTTAGCCCTTTCCAGGACCCGTAATTTTATTTTTTAAAGGGCCGCCCTTTTTTTTGGCAGCGGATCCGATTGATGCTACTAGCGTGGGGGGTTCTTCGCTTATCGATCCGCACCTTCAGCGTCGCTTCGTCTTTGTTTGAATCGCCAACCAGGCAACCTAAGGAACTCTCTCCCCGATGGCCGGGAAACTGCAGAAGGGCTGGTTTGGGGGCTGGTGGACTACCGGAGTTTGCTTAACGGCGCTTTCCTACGTCCCAGGTGAGCGATCGTCTGAACAAGACGCTCTCTTCTTTTTCGTGCCTCTCATAAGAACGATGGTTCTCCGGTGGAGCTACCTTGGAGCGTTTGGGTCTCTGTGTGTCTCGGGATCTCTGTATAGGAGACCGAGAAAGTTGAGCTGGGCAACTGGAGGAAAGGTTTGCTCGGTCTGGAGCAGGTGATGGCGGTGGCACGAGTATGGCGAGAGGGTGGGCAGCTGTCCTGGTGGCATGGGGAAAGAAAGGGGTATTAAAGACACTGGGCATTGGATAGGCTCGTTATGCCAGCGGGTGCCAGGCTGGCTCCTGCCAGCCAGTGCCTGTTTATTTTTAAATAAAAACCCAGTCTTGGCCACCTGAGGTACTACCAGCTCCCTTCACCTGCTGGGTTTACAGGGCACGAGTGCTACCCTGGTTTTGCCAGAGCGCAGCAGTTCGGAAGGCTAGCTTGCTCCAGCATTGTGCCCTCCAACGCCCTAGGTGTGTTCTCCTCTGGGTCCAAAGCGTCAGGTAGAGAACATCTCCATCGCCCACCCTCGACAGAATATGTCTCTTGGTTCTGATAGATGCCCAACCAGGGTACAAATGCCCTAATATAGACCCTTTTCCTGCAAGCCTCTCCTTTAGACTCTTGGTAGGAAGCAGAAAAGGGGAAAGCTCTGTCTCTTGGTACGATCTTGTCTTTTTTTCTTTTTAATTTCCTGTGCCCAGCTGGGTAGCTGACCCACCTTGCCCACTCTTCCCCAACTGAAAAGAGAGAAAAACCCTCCTCTTTCTGCTTTTGTCTGCTTTGCACACAGTGGGTTAATCCAGTTGTGGATTGGGGTGGAGGGACACACACATCCCGAGAAGACACAAGGTGGCTGTGCAGGATGATTCCTGGGGAGGCTGGAGACAGAGGCTTGGAGAAAAAAACGGGAAGTCCAAGCCGATTGTGTGTCAGCGCCCTTAATGGAAAACTGTCTTCCAGGAGGAAATCCAAGTGTGGTTTGGGGGGGAGGTCTTGCTGGGAGGTTTAACTCTTTGGGCTGTGGAGGCAACTGGCCGCCCTGCAAGGAAGATGTGCAAGTGTGTGTATCACTGCCCCCAGGTCTGCCATGCCCAGCTTGTCTTGCAGGGGTAGGAAGGGGCTGTGTGTGTGTGTGTGTGTGTGTGTGCTGCAGTGGGAGGGGTTGCCTTTTGGAGAGGGAGCACTGCAGCGGGCAATAAAAGGGGAAAGATGCTCTGGGAGGATACAGCTGCTGCTGCTACTTTCAGGTCCAGAAATGTGCAGGGAAGTGAGTGCCCACAGTTTGCAAGGGGCTGGAGAACCCAGAGGGGGTTTCCTCCTGCAAGCAGCTGGGTTGCTGGAGGAAAGCTGTGGTGGGAGCCTGTTCCGAGTCCATGTTCACTGCTGGCTTTTTGGTGCCCGCCGGAGTGGCAGTTGGCAAAGAGGTCTATTGGCTTGGCTCTCTGTAGCGGTGTTGCTGCTGCCGGTACAGCAGGGGGCAGGCTGAACTGAGGCCTGAGGATGGGCGGAAGCTAAGGGGAGGGTAGGAAGTGGGATCCAGAGTCTTCAAAGCACACAGCAGTTGGTAGTGACCCCATCCTTTCTCACCTAGGACCAGCAAGGTGGCATAACAGTATCACAAAGGAGGCGAGCCCCAGGAACGAGCTGATGGAAAGGGAGTCTTTGCCTTGGAACCCCTTCCATAGAGCATTTAAAGCTGCTAGTCCCTAGTGTTCCTTGCATTGAAAGAGAGGCTGCTCTGAAAGCTGGTTTTCTTGGCCCAATCCCAGAGTTGTGGTGGGAGAAGAGGATTCGGATCATAAATTTAAAATCTGAAGAGAGGGGGACTGGGAATGTCATGGACTTTTAAAGTGGATGCTAGTTTTCCAGAGGCAGGTGCATGAATTAGGTAGGGTTTCTTTTTTAAAAAGTATTTTGAACCTCAGGACTGGAGGCCAGCAGGTGAGACACTGGTGTTGTCAGAATTTGCGTTGGGGGGGGGGCTCTAACTCCATGCTCCCCAAAACTTCTGCAAATTTCTTCTGTAAACTTCGGTGAATGGAATCAAATCCATGAAGTAATCTGAGTGGGCTCTTACTTTCCAAATATATATATCTTTATGTCTTGGTAGCTCAATAAAATACTTAACACATGCACCCACGGTTTTGAAATCTCTCTCTCTCTCTCTTTCTCTGTCTCTCCCCCCCCCCCAACTTCCTTGCCAAGGAAAAAGAATCAATATTATGCAAGCATGCTTTCCGGGAATATTGTGTGTTTAAGAGCGGGGGTGTGGTGTGGGGAGTATGTGATGTTTGTGTTCCAAAAGCTTTTAACTGTTGCTTCCTAGGCTCAAGAAATTCACTGAAATCTGCCTACTCAAACACACACGCATGGGTTTATCAATGCAGTAGGTGGATGGGATATCTGGGACCAGAATGCCACTTGGAATTCGAACAGCATATGAATAAAGTTCTCAGGGGTTTTCACACAGTTATTTGCAGAATCTTGAAGTGAAGGGGTTTCTGCTTGCAGATATGCATTCTGAGAGTTTGATGGGAGCAGAGTAGTACAATGCATCCAGCCCATATTTAGTCATGGATGTCACTCTTAAATTCTCTACCCAGCACCCAAATCTCCTGCTTCTTCTTTCTTTCTTTCTTTCTTTCTTTCTTTCTTTCTTTTTGCATTTGGACAACACCATCCACATATATGGTGCTGTAAGTTTTATATGAGGAAAAAGTCCTTGCCCCAAGGAGCCTACAGTCTAAATGTTGACAGGCGGGGGTGGGGGAGAAAGAAGAGAGAAGTGGGGAGAAGCAAAGATAACAGAGAGTGACTGTGAGCAAGTGTAGTTACTTAGGTGAGCAATTGTTTATACCTATGTATTAGAAAGGTGTAGTTTTTGTTCTGATAGTAAAATAAATCCCACTTCCTTAGGCTTTTGTTTCAGTTGTGGATGAGGGCAGAAAGTTTACTCCAAAGGCCTCATGTGGCTGTGCTGCAGCATCATGCTAGTCCACATTGTGCCACTTTGAGCATTCATTCATTCTGGCATGTGTCTCAGAGCACCGTAGATGCTGGTGTCTGTGGCAGTTTAGCTCACAAGGGCAGTTAAGCCCACATCTGGTCTCAGGAGCAGAATGATATATTTCTATGGCATTTCCTGGTTAGGATATAGCAGGCTCATCTATTAGCTCCCTTCCTTGATTCTGGGGTGCGGTGGGAGGAACCCCACTTGCATTTCAAGAAAAGCCAGTGCTAGCAGCTCAGGAGAAAGAGACCTTTGCTTTGTAAACTTCCTGCAGCTGGGGTGTCCAGCAGTTAACAGCAGCGGGGAGGTGATGCTTATATGCATATGATGAAACTTGTGGTGTGGAAATCTTGAACATTATGGAGTGGGGGAAAGGGAGAAGAGATTTAAGAGTGCATGGTTATTATTTTCACTTCTCTCCCAGGTCAAAAGCACACTCTTTTAATTCACCTTGCTCCCCCCCCCCTTATTTCCTGGCCTGATGCCCTGGACAGAGTGAATCTGCCTTCTCTTACCAGACGGGCTGCAATGGAATCATCAGGCTGTCTTTAAGTGTTTTCTCCGCAGTCTCTTTCATGTTGTTCATATGCATCCCTTCAATATGGGGATATAGATATATTACTCTCACTACTTCTCGGTTTTGCCTGCTGCTCCTTATTACAATATTTGCTCTTTTCTCTTGTGCTAATAAAGGGGATCTATATATATATATATATATATATATATATATGCCATAAAAGTGATGGAAGATCCCCTTAAGAAAGAAAAAAAAGCAGTACTGTATCCTGTTCCGTAAATGTGCCTTTAGTATGGTCGGCTCAAGTACCCATTGCGGATCTGCCTTCTGCAATCTATGATGCAACCCGCGTACTTTCCCTTCCCTTGCAGAGTTTATAGCAGGCTGTGGCACGTTTGGATGACTCGAGACGCAGGTCTGACTATTTAATACTCTGAAACATCCGGGAGTGGGGTGGGGGTGCAAGATGACAAACCGCTCAGGGCTGCTGGGCGCGATGCTCTTAAAAAGAAGCTTTTAAAAAAGATGAACAATTTTGTTACTTGCCTGTCAGGGAAATGGGTACAAAGGGGGGAAGCACTGTTCATGGCACTCGGAGCAGACCAACAGTCAGTCTAAGAATGTGTGATGGTTTTGAAGATGACTGCTCCGTCTGTCTTGAGAGACAGTGGACTGTTCATAGACTCATAGACTTGCAAGGCTGGGGGGGGGGCAAAGGTTCATCACTGCAACCCCCTGCAATGCAGAAATCACAGCAAAGTTCTTGCAATTAATTAAACTTACCAGTCGCTTGTTACCTAAAAGATCTCCAAGTGACTTACACTGCTAATTTCTGCTGTGTGTCTGCACCTCTCCACCCCACATTACAATTGGTTTTAATGGAAGGTGCTTTGGGCCACTCTGTGAAAACCATACAATATAATAATAATATCAGTGGATATCCTGGTATAGGTGATGCACTAGGAATTTAGGAACAAGCCTGCAAAAGCCAAAAAGGTCCCTGTTTGCAGAGATTAAAAAAAGCCAGTATCATGCGCAGCAGAAAACTTCATCATCAACAGCAGTAAAATGGCAGAACAGAAGCAAAAACCAGATTCCATATATTTTTAAAAAGATGGGATTGGAGTTCCTGCTTAGGTGTTTCTCTTTGAGCCAAAAGGACCTTCTAGCTAGGATCTCCCCTGGACTGTAAGACTCAATTGACAGCTGCATTTATTTCCTCTCTCCCCTCCTCCCTCCTTTGAAGTTGGGTTTACACAACACAAGTAGAGGCTTGTGGAGAGGCCTGGGCATGAGATGTGCTGAGTAAGGGAAACAGGCTGTCTCCGCATTGTGTGCGCATGGTTGGGGGTCCGGGGGTCCGACTGACCCAGCAAAACAGTTAGCCTTAACCCTTGGAGCTTCAAAGCTCAGATCCAGCTCCTACAAGAACTTGCAATCTTACAGGGGAGAGTGGAATTCTCC